AAAATGATTTTAAGAAATATGATATTTTATTCTTTGTTAATAAATTGCTATTTTATTAACTTTTTAAAAATAAGTAATACTTTTTAAAAATATTTTACTTTTTAAAAATAAGATTTAAAAAAATTTTTAAAGTTTAAATGAGATTTTTAAAAATTTAAAAAAATAACTTCTTTGTATAAATATTTTTTGCATTTTTACTACATATTGAGAAACAAGTCACATTAAAATTGCGTTATTTTGCGAATATAAATACTCTCATTAACATTTTCATAATTAACTTGTGTATCGGTATTAGTTTAATTTGTTCATGTGATTTTGATTCCTAATAAACTTGTGGTAATGAATCATTATCTTGATTGGATTTAAAGCAATGTAGGAGATCACCATTAAAGCAGATCTTTTAATTAAGCCACGTTATAAAAGAATATAATACAAGCAATATTTAACAATTACCCTTGTTACCTTAGTATTTATAACATATTTCATCATTTTACGAAGATTTAATTAGATTCTCTTTTTAATTAGTTCTCGCATTTCTTGAACTTTCTTTCATGTTGTAAGAATTGCGATTTAAATTATTAAATGAATTCAGTAATTAATTTATGAATAAAATTTAATTAACTATTGAATAATTTGTGCTTGATTGTATTGTTATAATTTTACCATAGTGCAAACTCTAAATTCGACGATTTATTTGATAACATATATAGCAATGGCCATAAATTTAGTCAAGCGTCGATAATAGGGTTTATATGGAACACAAACGGATTCGGTTAATTATATCATCAAAGGATATAACATGATAATATCCAATTTTGTTTCTAAACTACATAAATGTATTTACCTGTTCTTTCTGCTCAATATTCGCGCCTGCCGCAAGAAGTAATTCGCAAATATCCGTATGTCCCATCTCAGCCGCAATATGTATGGACGATTGAAGCCTCTAAAGCAAATTGAAAGTGGAATAGAAAATCAAACAATTCTTATTGTAAGTTTTCCGATCTAGTATGTAGTTGTAAAAATTTTAATTTCAGCCTGACGATTGGCAAGTGTAATATTGCTTGCAGTAACAAGCTATGCAATCTCAGGATGATTATATGGGTTGATAATGATTTTGGTAAATTAGTAATTTTGGCTGATTTTTATGTATTTTGTGATGTTGATTCTGAAAAGGAATTTAGAACTTATCCTATGAGCTTCAATTTTTTGTAATTGATATATCTCTTTTAAATATACTTTTTATACATTTTTAATTGCTCGTTCTATAAGGTTTTTTTCTTAATTAAAATAATTTATTTTTATTTGAATGAGTAAAAAATTATATTAAATTCAATTATAATTATTCTCTGTAAATTATTTATTTACTTAAGCAGAAGAAATAAAAAAATAAAATAATTTTCAAATGCATGTTGCTTCAAAATTCTGCTGTCATAAATTTGACAAACAGATATGAAATCACCGTAAAAAAAAACTATTAAGTTAATACTATTATATTAAATACTACTAAGAAACATGAAATTTTGTCGGCCAATATTATTATGAGTATACACAAGTAGTAATTCACGTTTTACATACCAGATTCAAACAATTGAGATCGACGCCTTTATTAATTAATATCTCTACTGTTTCTACTTCGTTGTTTTGGCAGGCCAAATGTAAAGGTGTATTACCGTTCTGCAACAGATAATGAAGGAAATACGTACGAAATACAATTTGTACAATGTACTCTTTTGTCCCGGTTGTAGATATTTTTTTGCATCTCTTTTTTTTTCTGCCAATTAATTTTATTCATTGCGATTGCATGTTTGCGATCGAATGTCGAGATATTTCTATGTATAATAATGCATCGAAAAATATTGTTATTCGTTGTGGTGCATACGGTAGTCTCGGCACGGATTATATTTCGAGATATATCTGTACCTTACACTGCTTGTTAAGATCGGCCCCATGTTGAATCATGGAGTCGAGTATTCCTTTGCATCCTTGACTTGCAGCGACATGAAGAGGAGTAAAACCCTCCTGGAGAGATAGTTGATATAGATTAATCGTATGAAATAATGACTGTAATATGCGAGATAAAATAATGATCCGTTGTTATACGATATTACTGCGAATTATATCAGTTCATTTAAATGAATATGAAGAAATTACGTTGAATAAAAATATAAATTTGCTTGTAGGAGTTATTCTAAATTTTTAATAAGAATAACTTTTTTCTACGTTATTCCAAAAAATTAATATTAATGTTTAATTGCTATTATTAATATGGGTTTATAAGTAATTTCGTTTATCCTATTAAGTTGTTTTTCCTTCATCTTCGTTAGATGTAATCGCTCAACTATTCAATTTACCGCGTCAATTAGTTCGGTGTTTGCTCCGGCCTTTAATAATAATTGCGCGATTCCTGTGTGCCTCGTTCTAGTAGCTACGTGAAGTGGAGTATTGCCATCGTTATCCTGGGCATCTACATTCGCCCCTAATCCTATAAGGACCTCAACCGCGTCCAAGTGCTCTTTGGCGCAGGCACAGTGCAGCGGTGTTTGTCCTTTCTGGAAGTAAATCCAGATTTAGGAAAATCAATTAGTGTTTGAGACTTTCATATGTATATTCATTATAAAAAAATACGCGATTATCACAATTTTCTCGTATTTATGATGTAAGTCTCATGCAGAAGGAAAATAATGGAAAATACCTTACACGGAAAAAGTAGTATGCTAAAATATTGAAAATTTAGTCAGATGCAGATTTGAAAATAATTTTATTGGACTATTGAAGGATGTAATCAGATATATGTAGAACTCTTAAGATAAGATCGCTAGAATGTCACAATTTTTGTAGTCATCATCACTTGATTTTTTTACATAATTACTTTGAGTTCAATAATTATTTTGATAGTTCAATAATAATTTTAATAGTTCAATAACATTGTTTTCAGATTTGTAGTTAGCTAAATTTTTAGATATTTTAATAAAAGTTCTTTTTATGTGTCACATCAATTATATTATTTTTAAATGTAAATAAAAAGAATTTTCTGAAAACTACTTGGAGCTTTCGATTGAACAATAATATTTGCGTAAAAGAAAATGCAACATTTTCAACAATATATTCTTTATTACCTTTTGCAGTGAATGTTAGAAAAACATGTTATTTTAGTTTTTCTTGCGGAACGTTTATTCAACGAATGCAAATCATGTAGAATTTAAGAGTAATATTTTTCGTAAATTTCGTGATCTATATGACTATTACATTTTACAAACTTTAAGCAGTGACAGGATGTTAAACACAGCTGTTAAAAAATTCTAGATATAATAGTCTCAGAATATCTTTCAAAAATGATTTGTTTCTTTCTGTTAGATTATCCATTATATTTGTTACACTTATGATCTAACATTGAGCAACATCGGAAGTGAACTCATTACAAATTATCTATAACGACACCTAACAATCTTATTGATTGAGTGAAAATAGCTTAATAGATATCATAAAATTAGAAATACGAATAGAGATTAATTAATTGCATTATTTATAGAAAATATTAATATGCGCTTATCATTATTCACAATTATCCTAATAGATTCTACGTTTTGTTTTAATCGGCATTACATCAATATTTTCGGAGGGATGAAGTAACTGATAATCCAAAAATAATTAACCGATACGCGGCAACTTGCGTGGCATATAAAGATGTAGCATGCCGCGCCTATCTCAGGGAAATTAGTATTCCGTACGCAGCAATGAGGAAAATCGAGAAGGGATACGCGAGTAAATTGAATGAGAAAGCAAGAGTATCCAGGATACGGCAGGGTGAGAGTCTGTTTACAAAGGCTCCCGTAAAATGTACTCAAGCTGGCGATTGGTCGAGTTTCACAGTCGCGGAAGCCTTCAGAGGATTGCGCTTGCCTCTCGATAAGGACACTATGGCAGTCGACACCGGAGAGAAAGAGAAAGAGAGACCGAGAGAGATCCATTTTCCCAGGATTTGAATCAAGAGAGAGAGATGCGATCACGCTCTGACCTATCTGCGAACGTATACATATATATACATATATATATATACTACACATGCGGAAATCCGAGCGGTTCCTCTTACCGCCACGCGCGTTAAACGGACAGTCGATTGTTCCTGTCGATAAATTATAAATATCTTCTTTTGTGTCTTCATTCGTCCCACGATCGATACTGCACTGTTCCATGGCCGAGTCACTGTGGCTATTATTCTTGTACAATTTTTGATGCGTTTTCACTGTTTTTCAGATACGTGATATTTAATTTTAATTATTAATCATTAAAATGCGAGAGAGAGAGAGAGAGAGAGAGAGAGAGAGAGAGAGAGAGAGATTTATATCTTTGCGTGAGAGAGATTTAATATATCATAATAATATATAATTTTTAGTAGCATAAACAAATAATGATATAATTTAATTTAATATAATTTATCAATTCTGCTGAAGCTCGGCTTCGATCGTTAATTTTTATTAGATACATGACAGTTGCTTGGTTACAGCTTTTGAACGAAATATATTTCGAAAAAATTTCCTTCCCATTCATCGCGAACTTCGTTTTTTGATATTTATATATAATACATTGTCGATGTATAAAGGACTAGGATCAACAAGGCTTTTAAGCATGTCCCAAACGTGTTTATAAGGATACTACAACAATATTCTCTGCAGGAAAGCAGCTTGAAATGTTCCAGAGAGTGCCCAGGTCACACGTCAAGCCTGATCCCGGATTGTAGATAGATGCTTATCATCACTGCGGCGCGCATAGGAATAAAAATCATAGGAGACCCGCATCCAGGAAATGGCGAGAAGAGAGAGAGGAAGAGGGGGAGAGAGAAAGAGAAAGAGAGAGAGAGAGAGAGAGAGAGAGAGAGAGAGAGAGAGAGAGAGAGAGAGATCATGCGAGGATTGATTGCACGAATGATTTATCGGAAAAACGAGTTGTCAAGTGATAACTGATTTCAGAAAGCGGATTTTTCTCTCTCCGAAATCCGCTTTATATACGATTTCTACTGATTGAATTGAATTAATGTTACAGTTAAAAGATAATGAATTTTTATTTGTTTGAACATTACGGCTAATAGGACGCTGTATTGAATACTAATTGACCGTCATTTGAGTTAAATCGAACAAATATCTTATTTTCAATTCGCGCGTGAATTATATAATTTCATTAAAAGCGTTGCATTTACATTAAATGTATCTCTACATTATTTTACAAATAATTACTGCTTTTAAAAGCGAAATTATGCTTTAAAATATTGTTATAGACAATTAGTCTGTGATTCTCTTCAAGCGAAGGATGCATAAAATTGCACATAATTCATGTATGCAAATATTTTCTGAGAGAGACAAATAATTAATAATTTACGAGAGCGAATTATACACACAATTGCGATCGCATAACTAATTTTCCTACATGGAAACACTTTTGATTGGTTATTAGGTAAAAGAACTTTCGCAAGAAAAGTTCGGACAACCATATTATTAATGGATGGGTAGATGGACAAATATCCTTTAAGATACATGCGTATGTATATGTATATTATGTATATATATATATATATA